ATATATATACATATATATATATATATATGTGTATATATATATATAAGCAGACCATGAGATTTGTAAATTATTTCCAGTTATTGTATTTTGTTTTAGTTAGCTGTATCTGACCTTTTTGTTTATCTTTTACAGCAGTGGTCTCCAACCCTGTACCTCAAGATCTACTATCCTACAGATTTTAGATGCATCCTTGCTTCAACACAGCTGAATCAAATGATTGATTACCTTTTCAAGCCATTCATTTGATTCAGCTGTGTTGAAGCAGGGATGCATCTAAAATTTGTAGGACAGTAGATCTTGAGGACCAGGGTTGGAGACCACTGTTTTACAAGACAAGTGCCTTGTTTGTAATTCTCTCTACAAGAGGATTTATTAAATTGTTAATTTTTTTTCTTAAGTTTCCTTGTTTACTAATCTGTCATCCATCCTTCCTCCAGTTTGTGTAGAATTTCATGTCATACGTAAAGCCTGGTTAATGCAAACATAGTCCTCATTAGTGAGCGTCTCTAATTATACCTTTAAAATAAGCAAAAAAGTAACTGAGAGGACTGAAAATGGAGCTTTTAAAATGACAAAGTATAGAAATAAAACATTTGCAGTCCTTTGTTGTCCTTTGCTTTTAGGTGTAAACATATTTGCTTCAAAATCAAGAGAAAACTTGTGTGAAAGAAAAATTTATAATGGACCCCCCAAACCACAGTTTTCTAAAGTAGGTCCTGGGGCCTTTTGCAGCCCTTGCTGTGATTTCTCTTGGCCATCAGCCGCAACACAAGGATGGCACACATTTGTTTTTTCAGCTCAAAGCTGCAAATGTGATGCAGTTGGAGAAATCTTAATGACATTTTTTCTGATGACTTATGAAAAACAGAAATTTAAGTTTAGAAATGGAAGGTATTGTAAATGTAATTTTCTTTTATAATTCAAGGTTCCAAATTAAGTTCAATTCATAGTACCCAGGAATGTAAACGTCCTTTGCCCTTTAACTAAGAACATACTTCTGTGCATCCAATTAGTACACTTGGTTAAGAAACAAATCAAGACTCTGCATCAAAAAAAGATCATACTTGCACTACATGTTGAATTTTCAAATCCCTTTAAATAGAACTTAACTCAATGTTTCTACTGTATTTTGCACCTTATTTTTCTGATCACTGCTGCACTTTATAATTGGAAATTTTCCTTTCACTGCTGTAAGCTGCTCATTCACTGTTGAAAAGCTGTATGCATTGAAATTTTGTTTTGTATACAGTCTGTGTATACAAAACAACAATCAAGTTTGTCTAAGATCTTCCCATATACTTTTATTGTTGCTGAAATTAAACCGATATCAAATATAATAAAAAGCCAATTATTAAAATAATTATGATAAAACAAAAATAATAAAACTAAAAAATGCGACGTTAGATGCTAAACATGCAATAAAACAAGTGCAATAATCCAAACAGACTACTGTGTAGTCTTTCCTTAGCTCTCTGCTGTTCAGATATTTTTATATCTAAAGTAAACATATTCCAGGACATTACAACTTTTTTTATGTTCTTTTGTACCATATACACTCTTTTTATATTGTCTGTTGTATTTACATCTTTAATGACATTTTGCTTTAACTTTTTGTACTCTATATAAGCGACTGAAACCAGAATTTCCCCGAAAGAGTAATCCCAAGGGATAAATAACATTGAGTCTGAGTCTAAACAGTACCGTTCACTGTGTTGATATATAAGATTCAAGTGAAGCATTTATTACTATACCACAACGTAAGGGCCACCTATTAAGACTGACAGGTAGTACAATATCTTCATAAATGTTGTTTCTTCTAATCTTTAACATTTAAATTCAGGTGACAACGATGCCATTAAATCTCTATGGCATGTCTGATTCCTCAACTGTCTCTTGCCTTCAGGGAAATTGACTGCATGTCAACCAGAAGTAGGACACTGAAGCTCCTCAGATTGTTGCTCATACCTCCTGTGCCTACCTTCTTTGCCTTTACCTTTCACGGTCAGAAAGCTACCCAGGGTAGGAAAGGACCTCCAGACTGCTGTGCTGGATCTAGAAAGCCTTCACATAAATTATCTTTTTCAAATTAGAACAGCCTTCCAGAAAATACAACATAAAAAAAAGTTACACAAATGTAAAAAATTACTTGAGCTCTATTATAAAACCCAAAGCATAGAAAAATGTATACAGTTGCATATGGCATAAAGAAATAATTTATTTTTCTTAAACTCTGTGAGATAGCCTGTTCCTATGTGCTGATTCCAGACAGCCTTTAGTCTCACGGATGATCATTAGACAACAGAAAGGCAAGTTGATGATGCTAGTCATTCTGTATCTGGGACTACAACCTTCTGGAATAGATTTGCAAAAAAAAAAACAACCAAACATGCTTGTGAACAGCTGAACTCTCAATTACACAAACTAAAACATATGAAGGTGTGTAGACGTGTCACACATGAAGAAATTTCACTACTTATAGTACTCTCTTCTCTCCAGACATGTTTGTTTATTTCTGTGAGGTGTGCTATCCTTCATCATCATGTCATGCAAAGGATTGTGGGATTCCTTATAGATCCTTAGGACTTGTAAGGAACCTGACAAGTTCACTATTCTGAAGGAGCTGATAGGAAGCACTGGCCCCTTTTCCTACCTTCTTTGACTAAAGGGTTCTTACAGATTAGATGATTTCAGACGCAGCCAGGGTATGTAGCTGAAAGAAACGTGGCATCAAACAGGTGGCTTAGGTAGCAGCCAGGAAATGCACAGATGTGGATACAGCTTGTTTGCAAAAGGCCTTGCCAAGCTTTGAGCTAAATTGAAGTGAATTCAGTTATAGAAATTAGAAAGTTTTCCATTAAATCTAGAAGAAAAAAAAAATCAGGTGTTCAAATAAGAAGGAATAAAAAAATAATAATAAAAAAAGGCTGCGATTGGGAAAAAAAAAAAAGGAACCATAAGTTGCTAGATGGCAGATTTTTCTTCCCTTGTTGTTGTGAGAAGTTTGCTAAATATTTCAATTGGTGGTCTTGCCATAAAGCAAAACCTCCATGAAGCATGGAACTTTAAAATTTTAACCTAATAATTCCTGCAAATTTTGAAGGTATAGATTTTTTAGGACTGTGTCTAAACTTCATTCTCTCCTTCAGGATGAGCCGAGTGCAGCTACATTTAGAGGTGATGTGAAGAAGCACAGGTCAATATTCCAAAAACAAAAATAAACTAAAAACAACTCATGC